GAATTCTTACCTCTAAAAAGGTATCATATAAAAATAAAAGACACAGGGCCTGCCAAATGGCTCAGTTGGTTAAGAGCTCGCTCAAGAGTTTGAGCTCTGAGCAACAGCGGTTCGAGTCCCTGCCCAAGCTGAGCAGCCACTGAGCTGCCAACAGGTAGCAGGATGGCTCAGCTAAAAAATAAATAAATAAATAAATAAAATAAAAGACACAGTACACAAGGACACATGTACAGGGAGTTAATCACAGCATTGTTCAATACAGCAGAAAATTGAAAACAAAGTAAATCATGGTGCAGCTACATACACCACAGAAGTAGTAGAAAATGAAGTAGACTATACTAGCTGACTTGGAGACATTTTCCTCAGGTATTTCCTAGTGAAAAAAAGAAATGCAGGAAGAGTATATAATATGATCCTATTTTTCTTTAAAAAAATGGCCCCTCAAAAACCATGCATGGGAACAGATATATACTTTTGTGTGTGTGTGTGTGTGTGTGTGTGTGTGTGTGTGTGTGTGTGTGTGTGTGTGTGTGTGTGTGTGTGTGTGTGTGTGTGTTTTACATATATATATATACATATATATATATATATATATATATATATATAGAGAGAGAGAGAGAGAGAGAGAGAGAATAGGATTATATGAGCATAAATTAAAAACATGCGAAGATTCAAGCCAGTTTGATAACATGGGTTGTTGTGGGAGGGGTCAGCAGGAAAGGAGGTGTGGAGGTAGGAGGTAAAAAAAGTAGGGTTTTTTAAGGAAAAAAAAGTAGTCTGCACTAAAAACCCCAACATATATACTATAATCCCATTTATTCATTAATGCAAAGATGTATATATTGTATATGTGCAAATAATTTCTGAATATAATAAAATGCAACCTGATCACATAAAACCAAATGAAACATTTCAAACTAATGGCATTTGACTGTGTGATTTAGACTTTAGATTCAGGCAAGTGAATCACTTACCCCGTCAAACACCAGGAAGGATTTACACTGTTACCCCCTGATGACAAGTGCCTCCAGAGGTGCATGGCATCCATATAGACAGGCAAAGCTTCTCAGTTTTTATGAAATGATGCCCTTGGCTGTGCATTTTCAGATCTCCAAAGTATACGAATCTGCCACTACCCACACCTACCCAAATTCTACCCTTCAGGCTCTTTCCAGAGAAAATATCCTCAATCTCCTTGTTATTCGTATCAGCTGAAGGCTATCCCAACTGGCTCAATTTCCAAACAGAAGAATGGGTTCATTATGATTGCTGTTAATTAACATTTTTAATTATGATGGTTTAACGTGGGTGTTCATCTATTAGGTTGGCGCAAAAGTAATTGCTGGTTTAGCCATTACAGATAATGGTAAGAACCGCAAATACATTTGCGCCAACCTAATAATTGATAGATCTGGCAAACCTACCATGGTAAGGGTTTGCAATGGAAATTGCTGTACATTTTGGACTGGACAGTCTATAGAAACAAAATTACTTGTTTCACAGCAGACTTGAGGAAGCTGTTGAAGCTGGTTGCAGCCGAAAAGTCTTGCTATAGCTACTAAGTGGTTGCTTTTCTTTAATTGTGGACTTCATTACCTCTATAATCCATTTTCAGCTTCTGGTCAACCACATTGCAGAGAGAGAGAGAGAGAGAGAGAGAGAGAGAGAGAGAGAGAGAGAGAGAGAGAGANCTGTGTGTGTGTGTGTGTGTGTGTGTGAGTTTACTTATCCAATCATCTATTGATGGGCACTTAGGTAGCTTCCATATCTTGGCTTTTATAAATAGCATTGCAGTGAACGTAGGGGTCTATATATCTTTTCAAATTAGTGTTTTGGATTTCTTTGGATAAATACCCAGAAGTGGAATTGCTGGGTTACAAGGTAGCTCTACAATTTTTTGAGGAACCTCCACACTGTTTTCCACAGTGGCTGCACAAATTTACAATCCCACCAACAGTGCATGATGGTTCCTTTTTCTCCACATCCTCACCAACACTTGATGTTTGTTGATTTATTGATGATAGCTATTCTGACAGGTGTGAGGTGATATCTCATTGTGGTTTTAATTTGCATTTCTCTGATGATTAATGGTATTGAGCATCTTTTTATATGTCTATTGGCCATCTGTATGTCATATTTGGAGAAATGTTTATTCAGGTCTTCTGCCTATTTTTTAATTGGATTGTTTGTTTTTTGGGTGTTGAGTTGTACGAGTTCTTCATAAATTTTGGATATTAACTTCTTATCAGATGTATCATAGGCTAATATCTTCTCCCATTCATTAGGTTGTCTTTTCATTTTGTTGATGGTTTTCTTTGCTGTGCAAAAACTTTTTAGTTCGATGTAGTCCCATTTGTTTACTGTTTGTTTACGTTTTGGAGATATATCAGAAAAAGTATTAGTAAGAGCAATTTCAGAGGGTTTACTGTGTATGTTTTTTGCTAGGAGTTTTATGGTTTTGGGTCTTACATTTAAGTCCTTAATCCATTTTGAGTTTATTCTTATGTATGGAGTAAGAAGGTGTTCCAGTTTCATTTTTTTGCATGTATCTGTCCAGTTTTTCCAATATCACTTATTAAATAGATTGTCTTTACCCAATTTTATACTCTTTCCTCCTTTGTTATAGATTAAATGACCATAGGGTCATGAATTTACTTCTGGGCTCTCTATTCTGTTCCATTAATCTATGTATCTGTTTTTATGCCAATACCATGCTGTTTTGATTATTATGGTCTTGTAGTATAGTTTATCAGATAGCGTGATACCTCCAACTTTGTTCTTCTTTCTCAAGATTGCCATGGCCATTCAGAGTCTTTTATGGTTCCATATAAATTACTTTTTCTTTTTATTGTTAGTTTCAGGTGTACAGAACAATGCAATAGTTACCCTTTTCACCCTCACCAGGTAACAACCCCCCTCCCCCCATCTACTGCCCTCCCACCCCCGATATCATGCTTGTCTATTACAATTCCATTGACTCCATTCCCACTCTCTACTCCATGTCCCGTGACTATATGTATA